AGGATCTGGCGGCATCGGTAGATGAGCTGACGAGGAAGTTGAGCAACATGCCCGAGTGGTCGGGAAATTTGCTTGATCCTGCAAGGTCTGCTGAGCTGGTTGCGGCGAGGTGGGGTGGAAAGGCGAGTTATGACAAGCCGGAGGCCCCACTGACCGAAGCCGGAATGAAGAGTGCAACGCTGGAGGATCGAGCATATGCTCTCACGCAGTTGAATCGGGTGGTGAACTTCCACAAGAAGCATTTGTGCTTCGGACGAGGGGCGCCATCGGTGAGTCCGACTGCTCCGATCAATCCGTACGCTCCCAACCAGCTTGACGAGAGCAGGGGATTCCGCACGAGTGAGCAGTCCAGGAAGATGACGTACAATCTCGTGATCTTGGACGGAAAGAGGGATTATCTTGCCGATAGGCAAGAGATCAAGCAGGAAATGCGAACTTCTGGGCTTGTGCCTCGTGAGGCTAGGACATGCCAGATAGTGGTCCCCACGAAGAGCAGGATGGGCGAGTACGTTCCAGGCTATGATCAGGCAGTGGCGGCCACAACCGCAGGGCGGGAGGCTGCACAGGCTTTGATGAAGCTGCTTACGTGCGAATTTGATGATTTGGTCATCAACTCGAAGAGGATCTCGGAGTTATTCGAGGAGAGGGTGCTGAAGGAAACCGGACGTCAGCCTGGAAATTGGGTGAACGTGGATCAGGCCGTGTGGTTCCTGAAGGAGGTCGTGGGGATGGAGAATGCTGAGCTGAATTGGACATTCTTCAACCCGGCAATCAAGGCTCTCCCGGTCGGGCAGGTTGAGGTCATGCTGATGGCCATGTACGACGAAGCCGGCGTCCTCCTTAAGGATCACACCAGGTTGGTGGCCATTAGGTTCACGCGGATCGGACGGGACATGAGTTTTCAGGCTGTGCGACGCAGGTGGGTCTCTCATGTATGAGATGCACTGGAATGAGCTTCCTATGGTGGGGTACGTCGTGATGAAGTTCCATGACTTCAGGAAGGCGGTCCAACTCCAGAGGATGAGGCGGAATGGAAAGGCCATGATCGAGATATTGATCACAAGGCCAGATGAGTACGACTCGATAGGAGATGGGAGACCGGATGAGGGCTTGGCGGTGCCTATGCGCCCCGATGCTGAGGTATCGCCTTCGTGGTACGTCAGGGACAGGCTGCGGAACTACTCAGGTAGGCACGTGGTGGTCATGGTGGATCTTCGGGTGCACTGGTCGCTGATTGGACCCGTGTATCTGACCAGGAGGAAGACTCTCGCCGTTCGGGACAAGATCCAGATGGGTGCGTGGAAGGCCGCGTACATGTTCGATGATTACACGATAGTGTATCATCGCGTTTGGGACTATGGTGACTTCACTCCCGACAGGGGGAATCACAGGCGGACGCGTGAGGGCGTCAGGCTGAACGTGACCGGTACCTTCTGTTTGAGGTGCGCGGAGCTCACGCCATCTGGGATGCATTTGTGCCCCGGTTGTGCGCTCCCGGTCTTTTACCCGAACTTCATCCCCAACGCGGACGAGGAGGACCTCGTTAGGAGCCAAATCGTCCCGGACTGGGTAAGGAGCATGGGACAGTTTAGTCCCAGGAGGATCGTTTCCGATGTGGTCGGGGGCATCAAGAGGAACCTGATTTCCTATTCGATGGGATCCGATCTGAGGTTGACGGTGCAGAGCGGAATCCGGCTGCCTCCCTATCTCGGTGAAGATAAGGGTGGCGTCGATGTGGCGTGGGATGAGATGGCGAAGGTCTTTTCCAGTTCTCCTACGTGTCGGGCATCTCGGCCTCGGATGCCTTCGTGGAGAAGTGGGTGGCAAAGCATCTGATCAAAACCAACCAAATCGATAGATTTGAGTCGGTGACAGATTGCTTCCGAGCGAACCCAGCGCATGCGGCCCAGTGGGGGAGACGTATGACGACTTCCGTTAGGAAGTTCGCACGTCACGACACATACTTGTCCTTTTACATTCCGATGGCTTATGTGATTGGCGCTGCTGCGGGCCATCTGACTCCGATGTATCCGACCCAGAGGAAGGATGCAGATATCCTGGCCAGTCATCGGTTGATGGCGGATCTCAGGAACTACCTGGTCTCGTCCACGGGATACGACGAGAAGAGAAGGTTGAGGGAGGCGGTAGCCAAAGTGCAGAAGGCAATCAGTGCTGGACAGTCAGAGCCTCCTGCCCCATTCCGTGACCCATTCGTATACGTTAGTGACGATAGGGTGAGGACTGTTCTTGATGGTCAACAACCGGAGCCGATAGATGTGAACATCGACGAGCTTCAGTCGGTACACCATGTTGCTCCGGGTCCTGGTCCAAAGCAGGAGCCGGTCATCAAGGGCGGAAAAGGAAAAGGGAAGAAGGGTGAGAAGGGTGGTAAGGGCGATAGTCCTTCCAACCCACAACCGAAATCAGGTGAGGCTTCGGGAAAAGGGTCTGGCACGGGCGATAGCCCCGCTGTTCCGAAAGCAAAGGCCAAGGTTGATGCTGGGCCGACTCCGATGGAGGTTGATCCACCTGAGGATCAGCCAAGGAAGTCTTGGATCGCGGTAGCGGTTGAAGGAGCTCGGCCAAGTGCGAAGGCAACGACGACTCCAGCCCCGAAGGCCGAGCCGAAGGGAAAGGGGACTCCGGTTCCTGAGGCAAAGAGCTCTCAAGCTCCGAGGACCGAGCCCAAGGAGACGACGCAAGCCGACTCGAAGGTTGAGGTCAAGAAGGAGAAGGGGAGCGGAGACGATGCTCCCGGCGATGGCCGGGGCTCAGCTGATAAGCAAAGGAGAGAGAGAAAGTCTCGTTGGGACCCTGAGGTGCCTGCAAAGGAATCAACGAAGCGGGAGGCATCGAAGAGACCCGATGATGTTGACAGCAGGCCAGGTGCAGCGGCGAGAGAGGCGAGTGGAGATGATCTTCACTCCGCGCTTGGTAGGTCTTCGGCGAAGGACGCGGTAGCGCCCTTGACAGCCTCCAAGGCGATGGCGAAGAAGCCCGAAGGGAGTGAGGTCAGGTTGCGCTCGGCGGAGCGAGCTGCTGCGAGCCCGGTGGAAGGTCATTTCCGGGCGTTGCCGGAGAGTTCGGTGATGGATGCATTCCTGGCGATGTCACCCGATAGGACGCTGAATAGGCAGGTCAGGGATTTCATCAGGAATGGCGAGAATGCTTCAGCGCTGGAGGTTCTCAACCAGATAGTGGCGAACTCTCGCATCGGGCGTACACGTCGGGATTCGGAGGTTTCCCGCACTCCCTCCCGAAGGTCCGTTAGGACTCAGGACACCAGGGACTCCCGAGGATCGAGAAGGCGAAGATATCGACCGCGGAGGGACGAAGATCGGGATCGACGGAGGGACGATCGTCGGGATCATCGTGGCGATGATTCGCTTGAACGCGACCGAGATCGGAGGAGAGATGATCGCAGGAGATCCGAGAGGGATCGTGACAGGGACCGTGCGCGGGGCGGACGTGACCGGAGGAGGCGTGATGATAGCCGGTAGGCTAAATCACGAGGGTTGCGGCCGATAGGCTTGCGCCCGCCCTCCGATGGTCAACGCTGCGGGGTGGTGATCATGTTCATCCTGCGCCGCTGAGGCGTGTTGTTCATGCCTCTCCTGTACCGCTGATGTGCTGCTGGTGATGGTCACCAAGGAGTAGTGTGAGTGAGCGGAGAAGCAAACCGGGGAGGGTACTCCCAGGTTTGCGAAATTAGTATTCTATTTCAAGTACGCATGGTCAGGTGTACCTCTCGCCGATAGGCAAGGGTACAGATTGAACAAATGATATCCTTTTTCATGGCTTCTGATAAGAATTGAACTTCTTGCATTTCTAATGCAAACAGTTGTGACCTATTGTCGTCATGTGGACTCTTCCACAAGGTATGTTGGACAGCGTTACCCCGACTAATTCGGGGTGGTGGCGGGTGGTTTGCTCCACCGCTGACGGCGGTAGTGTCCAGCTGTTTGCGGACGTATGCGAGCAGTTAAATCCTATCAGTAAATGGCACGCTCCACCCGTCATGTGACGGGCTCCTCGTGAGGGGTGTGTGATTAGCCATGGTTTAAAGCATCATCAGGGAAGTCGCGATAGTGACCGACCGGTGATGTTTGGCTCAAGTTTATGGGTTCCGTCGCGCCTCGGATGGGCGTCGCCGAACCCCTGCGTCGACCGACGGCATCTCGGGGGAGAAAGAGACCTCGGGCCGCCGTCAGGTTGGTAGGGATCTGCGGCCTGTCGTCGATCAAGGTTGCGGGTTAACTCTTTTCTCTTTTGGTTGTTGTTCTCTGGTGTGTGGGAAACCCTGATCTTTGGGACCGGGGATTGGTTTGCTTTTGGGGAACCTTTCTTTTGTGGCTTGTTTACCCCAACTTACCCATTGCCTGGGCATAGGTTCGTGCCCGAATCACAGATTCTGAGCTATCTTCCCAAGTGTGGTGATGGTGTGGTGGCAGGATTTGCCTCTTCAGACGTTTACGCTGTTCGTCGGGAATCGGGGTCTATAGAATCTGGATTTCTTTCAGAGGCCTTCTGGAGATTCATTGCAACTGGAATTCGCATCTCCCCAACCAGATTCCGATTGCTTCTCGAACCGAGCAGTCTTATTCCAAATGTCAATCCGATAATGCGGAGAGCCAGCAAGTTGGTCGGAAGAGATGCTTCCACCCAATCAGCCCAGACCTGGGCCTGGCAGTCCTTGGCTGCTCTGGTCAGCCGGCGAGGGGTTGCATTCAGAGTGGTATTCACTGACAAATCAAGGCTCTCCCCTTTTCCTCATCAGAAACCCTCCCCTCCTCTTCTCCTCCTCTTCTCCTCCTCTTCTCCTCCTCTTCTCCTCCTCTTCTCCTCCTCTTCTCCTCCTCTTCTCCTCCTCTTCTCCTCCTCTTCTCCTCCTCTTTTCCTCCCTCTTACCCTCCCTCTTATCCTCTCCTTCTTTCCTCCTCTTGTCCTCTCCCCAGAAAGCGGCGAGTCGCCGTTTCGGCCTAGGGGGCCGCGCGGCCGAGGCCCGGCGGACCTGGCGGACCTGGCTGCGCGCTTCGGTGAGCCGCTGGCCTTGGACCAGGCGGAGCTCCTGCGCCCCGTCCGAAACGCGCCGAAAGCGAGACCTCGGCTCGGAGGAGAGAAAGAGTTGAGGTTGTGGAGGTTGGGAGGGAGGGAGAGGGGCGAAATTTTTGAAGAGTATGGGGGAAAAGGCAGCAACTCAAACAAGCTCTGAGGGTGCCAGAGCCTTTCTCCTCTACGTTGCTTGTTCTGCCGCGCGTCACTCTTGTTTTAATTTTTTGTGGAGGCCCGAGAACGTGCAGCGCTGCAGCAAGATGTTGTGGTGCGGGGACAGCACGTGGTCTCCGTCGGAGTCCAACTTTTTGAGCTGGCTGCGCTTTGGCTCCTGGACTTCGTGTTCGCGGTGCCACACCAAGTTCGCGCAGAAGCTCAACCCGCGGAATTTGGTGACGGGCACAGCAGCGCAAAACCAGAGAGCCGTGTGCCCACTGCAGCAAGGGGAGCCGCCGATGATCGTGCGAGAGGACTGGCCTGTGGAACTTTGCGGCCTCAGTGCTGAGGCGATTCGGGCCCTGCGGCCGCTGACAGTGCATCAAGGAGCTCCGGTGAAGCATGCCCACGGCCGCCGCCTGGAAGAGCTGACGCGGCTGAGCTGGAGCGACAAAGCTGTGGGTGCCAAGATCGCCACCTTATTGGTACCGTGGCTGGAGACGGTGCTATGGCCTCACCTCTATTTCAAAGAGAGTTTGTGCGAGTCCCGGCACTATGGGGGAGACAACACATCCGACCTGTCTGCGAAGGGCGACTTTGTGCGCAAACTTCTGAGTGACGTTCCGGACTTCGCCTGCGACTATGAATTATTGCAATTTCAGTTTGATCGCCACATACTTCGCTGCGTCACTCAGAAGGCGACCTTGGCCCGAGCTCGCCGCTGCGATGCCCATACCTCACGGAGCATCAGCGCTGGTCTCCGGGGTACTGGCGCCGGCACCATCGCGTGCTGCGGGATCTCTGCCACCAGCTCGGGGCGCCGGACTTATTTCTGACGGTGTCGCCATGTGAATGGCATTTTCCTTTTCCCTACGGGGTGGAAGCTCTACATCGGCAAATGAATCTGGGCCCCACGGAGGCTGCGGCCGCAGAGACACTGGCGGTGGCGCACGCGATCTCACAGATGTTCGCCGGTTTTCTGAGCGGCAGCACCGGACACGGGAAGTGGATAAAGCATGTCTTGGCAGACAAGACCGGACGGAGCAAAGGTGTCAGAGCTTTTTACGGCAGACTGGAGTTCCAAGATGGTGGGCGGGAGGAGAGACACCGCAAGGGCCGCGGCAGCGTGCATTTCCACGGGCTGCGGTGGCTCGGCAACATTCGCGCCTGTAATTTGGAGACGCAGCTCTGCGTAGAATTCCCGGAGGACAACCCAGAGCTCTGCGCACTGGCTCAGCGGGTCTTGAAAGGCGACCCTTCGCGGGCGCCACCAACTGGCTTTACAGCACCACGCTTGGCCGATGGCTCCTCCGGCTGCGGCACTCCGCGGAGTTCTGCAGCGCCCGAATGCGGCCTTTTGTGCATCCTTGCTGCGGGTCTTCAAGTGTTCCCAGGATGTCCAATACTGGCACTCTTCAGGCGCGCTCTTGCGGTACGTAATTTGCGGAGGGCCTGCAAGACCGATGGCTGGACGAGGCCAGACTGCGAGTCTGCAATTCGTGGAAGGCGGGCGAAGCAGAGATGGTGCTGACCTTGGCACGGACGGACATGTCTTTCTCGGACGTCGACACCAAGCATTGTCGCCCGCCCAAACTGTTGGACGCCGAGGACGATGTTCTCATGCTGTATCGGCGCAGGCCCAGGGAGCAGGAGAACTTGAGTTGCTTACAATGGTATCGGCAAACGACCGTGGTGGGCCAGGCCAGCAAGGGCACCCTGCGAGCACAGCCGCGCCATCGTAGGCGTTGATCAACTTCGCTTTTCCGAAGGATGAGTTCTTCGGACAATGGCTGCTTCTGAATTACCCGCACCGGCGCATCCAGCAGTTGCTGCCCTCTGCTATGTGGCGGGTGTCCTCGGAGTGGCGCTGCTTCGCCGCAGCCCTGACATTGCTGCCCGAAGCCTGGGGCCACCCGAGCTTTATTGAGCATGGATGGGCGCAAGGAAGAGTTTGTGCAAACGAAGTAAAATGAACTGGCAGCCCGCAAAAGATTGGTGACACTGCAGCTGCAGGGGCTTTGCGTGTCTTCCCGCGCGCTGGCACCAGCGGCAGCTCTTCCGGCCTTATCCTCGCAGCAAAATGCAGTGGTGCAGCAGCTGTGGGCAGAATTGCTGCAGCGACGGCAACTGCGAGGAGATGGGGAAGTGGACCCTGTGGGGCACGAAGGCGGGTGGAAGTGCACATTTGTGACCGGGAAGCCAGGCAGCGGCAAATCATTTGCCATGCACTCCCTAGTTCTATCTGCGGCAGATGCTGTTGGTTGCGAGCCCCACTGGCAAACTGGCGAAGGTGGTGTCTATGACCTTGCACCGAGCTTTTGCGATCCACGGGGACCTAGCCGAGCAGCAGCTGGATTTTGTTGGAAGCTTCGACATGTGGCTCTTGTGCGAGGTAGGCATGGTGTCCAGACAGCACTGGGAGTATATGTTGATGACCTGGTTCAATGTGCATCGCTGGCCGGTTTTTGCCATGGATGGGGATTTCGCGCAGCTGCCTCCGCCCACGGCGGATCCTGCGGATAGCGACGCACGACTGTCGCGGTACTGGCCCAACATGGTGCGCACCAAGGAACTGCGGAGCCAGTTTCGCTGCACCGACGTCACCCTCTTGGAGTTGCAGGCGCGGGTGCGCAGCGCGCGACCAAGTGCCGCCGTGCTCCAGACGAGCCTCTGGCCTCTGGCGCTGGAGGATGCGGTGTCGCATGAGGCGCTAGCAGGGTGGCAGGCGCTGCCTGAAGCCGTGGTGTTGACGGCCACGCTGGCCACCGCTGCGGCCGTGAACGCCATTGCCCTGGACATGTTCGGCGAAGAATGGCTGTCGCAAGTGCCAGTGTGGCAAGACAATGAGCTGGGAAGGCAATGGTTGCGCAAGGGCAGCTGCATCAACATCACGCGCAACGACGCCTACGACCCGGAGTTGTGCAACGGCGCCGCGGCCACGGTGCGACACGTCTCCCGCGCAGGTATCGCGGTGCAGCTACCCAACGGGTCTGTGAAGACGCTGCATCGGAGGGCGCAATGGGGATGCGCTCCGCTTACGATTTGGCCTTGGGGTATGCCGTGACGGTCAACAAGGCAGAGGGCGCAACTCTCCAGGCGGCTATCATTGTTTTTGAAGCTTAGAGCCCGCCCGGGTGGCGTTATACCGCCATAAGCCGAGTGCGGCGCCTGGACCAAGTCCGTTGCGTGGGTTGGCCACAGCCGTGGCATTTTACGACGAGAGTCTGACAAGCAGACACGGCAAATCATTTGAAGCCAGTTTCACTCAGAAGGTGCCGAAAAATAGTTTCAAAGTGGTTCGTGTGTATGTGTGAAGGCAGAGCAAAGGGTAGAAGCATAGGAAGACTGCTCATGTTTGTGCGCAGCGGCGTGAAGGGCTTGGCGCGAGCAGAGGACAGGTAACCGCTTTACTCGAAGAAACAACGCAGCTTTTGACAAGCAAGTGTAGCTCACGGACTTTCTTAGCTGTACGATATGGCTCCCAAGCGCGTCATGCCGAAGGCCGTGGCCAGTGGAAGCAAGAATGCTGGGAAAGGCAAAGGGCGGCAGACTTGGACTGCCCGGGGGCGCCTGGTCGGAAATCAGGTTCTCCACCGCAGCCAAAACTTTCTCAAGAAATATCCGAACATTCCGACCCAGGACGAGGACGGCAACTCGTCCGCGATTTGGGAAGGCTTGACAAAGCCGACCGTCTTCATGTCGCCAGAGAATTTGATCGACCAGGTCGGAGCGGAGACCACGGAGCTGATCAATCGCATGGGCATTGGTTTCTCTGAACTCGGTGGGGTCGCTGAAACTTTCCGGGGCGTGCTGGACCACCCAAGCCTCTGGCATCCGGAGCTCGTGGCCACCGTGGAGGCCCTCTGGCACAAGTATGACGTGGCAGCGGCGGCGAAGCTACTCAATAGCCAGGGGTACCCGCATGAGCCGCGGTCCGCGGCGACCGTGAGCAGGGCCGCGGCACACATGCTGCAGCTTGTGCAGGACATCCGCGGCCAGTGGGATACGTTTGCCGACCTGTTCGCTGCGGCCAGCACGGTGACGGTCTGCGGCAGCTGGCTGCTCACGGCCGGCGCGCTGACGCTGCCGGGAGGATGTCCCGATGACGGCGGCTGCGGAGAAGGAGGCGCGCTCGCCGACCCGGACAACGGGAAAAAGCTGCGTGACCTGGTGGCAGCGGAGTGCCTGGCTTTGCAAGTATAAGGCACGAACAAGCGGCAGCGAGCACAGCAGCGGCAGCCGCGGCGTTCGTGCCGATGAGCTTCGAATCGGACGACGATGCGCCGGCGCCGGCGGCCGCAGCAGAGCGCGGAGCCGACGCTGGAAAGCCGCGTCTCGGATTATGGCCGCGGCTGTCCCCGATGGGAAGCGCGCTGTCAAGGCCGCATGGCGAGTTGAAGGACGCCATTAACGCCGCAGGCGCGAGTGACCCGAGCAGCATCCAGCAGGTAGACCGGGCCGCCTTTAAGCGGAAGGCCAGCGGCTTGAAGCGGAAGGCGGCGGAGCTGGGCGTGGCCCTGGACTGAGGCCAGGGTAAAAATTGTCCGATGTATACGAATTTTCAACTGCGCTCCAAGACTTATCCAGAGACACTGGTGTGTGTTTGAAAATGAGCGAGTCAGACAGACTGGTGAAACAACGGAGAGGCCACGGAAAAGACTGGCCGATGTACAGGAATTTTCAACCGGGCACTAAGACTTATCCAGAGACACTGGTGTGCGTTTGAAAATGATGGAGTAAGAGCTGGCTCTCGTCTCTTTGCAGATTTCAGGCTCCCGAGATCCCAGGTGCCGCCTGAGCCCCGTGAAGTCCAAGAAGTCCAAGGAGCGTCGCTGCGCAATTTGGCGGACCACTGCAATCGCCTGGGCCAGGGCTAACCATGACAGGGAGACGGCGTGCGTTGCCATGCAATCACCATGTTGAGAACTGTGTCAAGGCCCTGAGTTTGAACAATCTAACTTGTGCAAGAATTCGATCATGCCGTCTGCCCCAAAGTTGCCACCTCCTTCCCCTTGCATGACTCCAGGAAGACCAGCCGAGACTTTGCCGCATTTTCGAACGTCAAGGATCTGCAAAAGGTTTCACAAGGTGGCGTGTGCCAGTGGCACGGTGCGTGCTGAGGATGGGTTTGCGCTTCGAGGCATTCTACATGCTGATGTCCCCAGATGACGAGCCACTCGACAAATTGGTGAACAACATTTCCAAACAATTTCCGCGTACAGGGCAAAGTGAAAACGGGGATGCGACGCCAGGAGCCAATGGGAGGACGAGGCCGGGCTGGTCTCCCATCGCGTCCCACTCCCGAGCGAGCTCCCGAGCTGAGCCGAGGTCTTGGAGGCGGCGGCGGCGGCGAAGCGCGCGGTGCGCGCCGAGGCCAAGGGCCGCCTCAGGGCGGAGCAGGAGAAACGAGAGAAAAGAGTAGAGAAGAGAAAAAGGAACGAGAAGAGGGAAAGAAGTGATCCGCAAATCTGCCCGTCGACTTCTGTCATGTCTTCGTACCATGTAGACACATCTGAGGTCTTGGACACGCAAGGAAACATCCTTCTTTTCGTGGTCGGGAAAGGAAGAGTTGGAAATTTGGACACTTAGTTCGTTCACGGGAAGCGGATAAGTGGGTGCTTGCGTCGAGGAGCGGAAGCATTTGGCACACCAGCAGAGGATACACGGTCTTTTCGTGCCCTGGCCATCAGTCAGCTCTATGCTTGTCTCACAGATGTTGGCAAGATGGCAATGCTGCACAACCAAGGCGATGGTCTTCGACTTGGTGACAGCACGGGGCTGAGTGCGTCCAACGCCGCATCGGGACTCAACGCGTGGGGCTGAGAGGTAGCCGTGATCATCTCCAACGCGCTGGTTATGGGCGTGAGCGCGGACATCCTGCCCGAAAGCAATGCCTGGGATGTCACTGAAGTCGACACCCGGAGCTGACTGAAGCGCTTTGAATTGTTGCGTTGGATTCGGCTCGCTTGCGTAGCGCTGGCCTGTTGGCCTTCAGGGATTCTTCAGCTTCTACGCGCTGGAGTATTTAATCAAGCTGCGCATGCAAGGGTGCGGTGGATATTACACAGGCCGTGGATCGGACAGTGTCTTATTGCTTTGTTTGCCGAAGCAAGCTACTAAGTTCCAGAGGCTTGGAAGCAACGTGGAATTGGTTCGACAACGCGTGCCTCTTGATCTCGCTCATCGACGCCGGGCTGAAACCCTTCCGGAAGTCTCGGGCCGTGGTCTTGTTCGCGGGCCGACCCGAGGATCTGGTCTTCAGCTACATCGTCGTGACCCAGAGCTCCGGAGGCCCGAAGCCGCGGCGCGAAGACGCGAAGACGCGAAGCTTCGCGAGTCGCGTGCGTCGCGAGGCTCAGAGCCCTTCATGCTGATGAGAATGTCCGGGCCTTGGGGACAGGGAGCGGCTTGAAACCCGAAGTCGGAGAGGTTGCGGCTGGCCCGACTTGCCCGGCTGGTGCCCAGAACGGGATCAAATCGGAAGAGAGCGATGGAAGACGGTGACAAAGAGTCGCGGGCATGCCGGGAGGCGCAAGGCCAAGCAACTAACATATATAGTGAGTATTGAAATTCAGAGTCCGAGAGTCCGAGAGTCATCGAAAGGTACGACTCATGCGTTTCCGGATGTTCCGGGAGCTGAAGCTGATGGTGCTGGGCCTCTTCTCAGGTCTGCGGGCCCTAGGCGTGGAGTCTCACTAACCAAAGCCGCTTCCGTGCGAAACACGGGGCCCATCCATATCGCGAATACGATCGCGGATGCCATCGCTACGATTTCGTGCGACAATCCGTGTAATTAAAGAGAGAGAGAGAGAGAGAAAAAAAAAGAGAGCCTTCCCGCAGCTTGGGCCATCGTGCTGCTCATGTTCACCATCTACACCGTTGGCGTGCTGATGCGGCCGGGGCCGGAGGGCCAGAGACGCCTCGACCCACACACCCGACCCACCAGACATGAGCGATCCAGGCTGATCAGCGATTTGCCGGAGTTCGCCTCCATGCCCAACGCAATGTTCACCCTGTTCCGCTGCTTCGTGACGGACGGCTGTGTGGCTTATGATGCTTGCCCAACAGTACCAGGGGTGACCTGAGGGAAACGAAGACCGCAAAGACGCAAAGCTTTTGTTTTCGGGCGCCCTGATGAAAACGAGAGCCCCAAACGAAGTTGACAGGGCCCGCATCAGCCGCAAAACGGTCAGCTGCCCGGCGAGGGCACAACGAGTGCACGAGTGTTCAATCGAAAATACACAGATTGCACTGAGCCTACTCTTGGGGCCGCAACGTTCATCTAAATCAGTGTGCTATGCGTTGTGCTTTTCTCCGGTGTGTCAGAATATGGCTTTTAGGGAATGTGTTTTGTTCACCGGGTGCTGTGCACATGCGATGCACGCGCGGGCATCCAGTGCGGTGCCCTCTTGGCGAGTTATCTTGCTATGCCCATGTTTGGTTTGCGTCGCACGCCGAGTTCTCCGAGTTTCGGCATCAGTGTCGCAGGGCGTCCCACGTTGATATTTGGCCTGAATGCCGAGAGCAGCCTGGCACGCTGCCTCTCCGGAGGGATTCTGCATCCTGATTTGTTTTCATCCTTGTGCTGTGCGCGCGTATGCTCTCCTAAAGTTCGGCAAGAATGCAGCTAGCCAAAGTCAAAGTGCGGAGCGGAGGCTTCACGGTTGTTTCATGGGCGAAGTAGGCTAAGTGGGTCTAAGTAGTCGGTTTCCAATGCAATGCAGCGGAAGCGAAGCCTTGCTGCGGTCGTTTGCACGCTCAGGATGGCACGCCGCTGCCTGAAAAGCTACGCAGTGATCTGGGCGTGCCTTTCTTCGTCTTCTACATCTTGACCACGATGAGCCTCGGCAAAAACCTCTCAAGAAGTTGTGGAACAAAACCAGTGGATCAGGGCGTGTCACATGTATACATGCCTCAGGGTCATCGGAGCTCTGGCCTGAGCGGGCAAGGCGTTTGGCATCACGGGGCAGAGTTTGGCTCAGATCTTGGTTGCGTTTTGCCGGCCAAGGTGGGGCTTTTCAACTTGATCATGGCAGCTCGGCACTTCCAAATTCTTGTGCAAGGCATGACGCCGTGATTCATGGGGAGCCAAGGCTGTGTTCATTGACAATGCGCCTCGGCGACAAGAAAGGAAAACTCGCCCGGGTTTCCAGGCCGAAATCCTGGCCAGGTGCTGAAGTCTCAAGGTCAGCGCAAGCTCAAGGAGATAGGCACGCATGGCACGCGATGCGAACTGCGAACTGCCAGCGATTCGACTCCGGGAGACTCAGAGACCTGCCAGGCGACACCTCGGCGGCCGTGTGCACCGAGCTGAAGTTGCAATTCCGGAGGAGCGGGAGCCTTCGTGTCAACGGTGGCTTCGGAAAGGTTTTGTTTGCTATGTGTCGTATGTTTCATGGTACGTGTTCTTGTGTTACAGGTGGATTCTGTGTAGGTTCTTGTGCGAGCCGACCGTGGCCTCGCACCGGACCCTGTTCAGCCGGCTCTCCGAGTCCGCCCAGCAGACGCTCGGGGACGGATTTGGGAGCGAAGGGAGGCTTAAAGGAAGGCGCATTCAAAGGACCAGGAGAATTCAAACGCCTTTTCTTCGGGCACGGGGACAAAGTGGGAGAGCAAGAAACAGCTTTGTGCCGCGCTGTCCGAAGCCAAGGAAGCTGTCCTCGCTGACGGACGAGAGCTTCTACCGGGATCAGGCCGGGAATCCGGGCCGCGCGCCGATGCCGCCGATGCCGCCGATGCCGCCGATGCCGCCGATGCCGCCGATGCCGCCGATGCCGGTGCCCCAGCCGCTGGGCCAGGCTTCCCGGCGAAAAATCGCGGAAGCCACGTACCGGATCCTGCAGGAAGACAAGGACCGGACAGAAAGACAATTCTGTGAATTCAGTCAGTGAACCCAGAAAATGTTAGATCTTGTGAAGTTCGCAGGTGAGCATCTCCCGGGACATGCCGCATGTCAGCAGCACCTCGGGAGTTCTTGAGTCGAGTCGGGTGTCGAGCGAGGTTCATGATGTGGCTGCAAGACCCCGAGTTCACCACCATGCTGGAAGAAGCTGACGTGGTGCCCTGGCTCCAGCTGCGGTCCAAGACAGCTTCCCTCCCTAGCCCCTGCTTCAGGACATGTCCGACAAGTTCCGCATGTTCGACATTCTGGATGTCGACATGGGAGGAGACGCCCTTGGGGGACGGGGGGAGACAACGGGATCAGGATAGGAACTATGATAAATCGATATAAATAGATGTGAATGGGGAAGGAGTGAAGACAAAGAAGTCTTTGCAAAACTCAACCCGTGATCTGAGAGAGGCGAGCTCTCGGCCGATGAGCTGGTGACGGGCCTCATGCAGCCGCTCGTGTTCGAAACGGGACGCGGGGCACGGCCGGAGCAGCCAGCGACGGGAGGGCCGGTGAGTTCCCGTTGCCCGTTTCGCCGAGGCTGCGAGGAGATGTGTCGAATCTGGGCCGAGTTCAATTTCTGCCATTGTTTTGATTTTGTCTATGACATGGACTGGACATAGTGTGACGTCGCAAAAGCGACGCAGTGAATCGAGCCCCCAGAATCTTGCCTAGGAAGGGTGACATTGTGGCGATCATGTTGAAGGCGTGACCGCCACGTGCTTCTGAACATGCCCCGAGTTTGGCAATCAATCGCTCCGAGCATTGTTGAGCTGCTTTGACATCCGAGTCATTCCAAAGGTCCTTGTGTGGAGTTTAGTATTCGCGACGCAGTTGCAACAGTAACTCGTAGTTTTGCGTAACGGTCATTTTGTAAGTCTGGACTATGTGAAAGAAGAGTATTTTGTTTGTTGGGCCTTCCTTCCATAGCTGATTAAAACCCTTTGATGAATTTGCGGTTGCTCGTTTAGGCGAGAAGGCCTGGTGAGGCTACAGTTTGATAACTACCGTGTGGCTGAATAGTGCTCCAAGTGTAAGTGTGTGTGTGTGTGTGTGTGTGTGTGCGCGCTCTTAGTCGGTGGCTCCACGCTCTGAACCTTGAGTGATTTTCGCGAAAGTTCCGCGACAGATCCGCGAAAGCGCAGGCTTCGATTGCTTCGATTACCAGTGGATGGCGATGAATCAGCGAAAGACTCGCGAAAAAAATATACTTCAGAGCCTCCGGCTCAGTCCGCCGACATTTCATCTCCCGTGAATGTCCCCTTCACCTGCCGCTCATTTCCCCCTCATTGCCCCTTTTTCTCTTCATTTGCCTGCATTTCTCGTCTTCATGCCCCTTCATCGCCCTTTTATTTCCCCTCCTCCATTTCCCCTTTATTTCTCTTTCATGTCCCTTGCATTTTCCCTTCATCTCCCCCGCGTTTCCCATTTCTTCCTTTCCCCTTCATTTCCCGTTCATGTCGCCTTCGTCTCGCTTCATTTCCCTGCATTTCCCCCTCATTACTCTTCATTCTTCATTCCCCTCCATTTCCGTTTCATTTCCCTTCATTTCCCCCCACAATGTTTCTAGATCGTGGCGCGGCCATCTTGTTGTGGCCATCTCGATGTAGGCCCCTGGTTATAGTTGTCAGCCCAGACTGCTCGACACCATACCCTTCTGTGATCAGATTGGCTTGCAGACTTCGCCTAAGCACACGGCAGTCAATGTATGTGTGTGTGTGTGCGGGTGTAATGTGCCGTGCGAGTTTGCTTGCCAGTGTCACTGTTGTGTGAGGGCGCATGTGCACGCGCGTGTGCATCGCATGTTCCTTCGTGCCAATCTGTTTGCGAATGTTTGTGTGTCTGTGTGTGAGTGCGCATGTGCACGCGCGTGTGCATCGCATGTTCCTGTGCATAGGTTCGTGCCAATCTGTTTGTGACTTTGGGGGTGTGGGTGTGTGAGTGTGCACGTGCACGCGCGTGTGCATCGCATGTTCCTTCGTGCCAATCTGTTTGCGAATGTTTGTGTGCGTGTGTGTGAGTGCATGTGCCTGTGCATGGGTTCGTGCGAGTTTGTTTGCGTGTGTGGGTGCGTGGGTGTGTGAGTGCGCATGTGCACCGGTCCTGTGCATTGCATGTTCCTGTGCACAGGTTTGCGCGAGTCGGTTTGCAAGTGTGGATGTGTCTAAGTGCGCAAGTGCACGCGTGTACATTGCATTTGCTTGGTGCGAGTGGTTTGCGAGTGCGTGTGTGTGTGTGTGTGTGCGTGTGTGTGCGGAGTGGCAGAATACCCTGCCACCAAATCTTTTTCCGTTGCAGCAGGGGGACCATCCATTTGCTGTGTGCGATGGTCCAACGAAGCGGCCACAGCAAATGCGGATATCGAGGCTGATCACCTCGACGTACCTGTGCATCTCGTGTGATTCAAAGTCCTTTTGGCCCGTTGTTTCTCTCGCTGTGTGTGCTTCATGTTGAATTTGTAACGTTTTCGCTGCTAGACGGAAACCAAGTGACTGCAAGCCGAACCTACACCCACTCGAGACTCATCGGTTGTACTCGAGACTCATCAGTTGTACTCGAAAGATTAGCACTCTCCATCTGGAGTTCAAGTGTGTACACCCCATTCGTGGGGAATCCTCGGGTGTACCCATTGTGTGACCCCGGGCCGGCTCTGTCGGAAAATTTGACCTCAACGTGCTTATCATAGAACAGCGGAATTTCACATTTAACCAGGAACGAGGTTTCACTAAAGGGAAGACAGCCATCAGACCATAGTGACGTCTCACCCTACGTTCCTTTTTTCTCGCCTTCTTCATCCGCGTGCCCGTCTTCTGGTCCTTCGCCCGCTTAGGGATGGCTTCTCCTTCCTCCCGTTCTCTTTTTGCTGCCTTTCGTGACCCGCGCGTTCGTCCCGCTCCTGTTCGCCCGCTTAGGGATGGCCTGGTTGTCCTCGCGTTGTTCACCTTTTTCCTCGTCTTCGTCTTCGCGTCTGTCTTCCTGTTCCTACTCCTCTTCTTCCTCACGTAGTTTGGCTTGACGTCTTCTTCCCCTTCCGTTGCTACTTCGGGTCCGTCCTCTTGGCCCCTGTGCGGGATTCGACGTCTTTCTCCGCGAGCCTTGGTCTTCATCCTCTGTTCCTATCTGGGCGGGATGCGTCGCCCTAAAAACGCATACTACTCCTTCCCTCTTCCTCTTCTTTCTTCCTTCTTCTTTCTTTTCTCCTTTTTGTCTCCTTGCCTTTTGCTTCTTGTTCCTTCTTCCCGGGCGGGATGCGGCGCCCTAAATACGCACCCTGATCCTTTCTTTTTCCCCCGGGCGGTTGCGACGCCCTAAATACGCTTCTGTGTCTCTCTCTCTCTTTCTCTCTCTTTTTCTGTGTCTGTCTCTCTCTCTCTCTTTCTTTCTCTCTTTCGTCCCTTTCTTTCTTCCCTTTCTTTTTCTTTCCCTCTCTGGGCTATTTCTTGTACTTCCTGTTCGCCCGGTTAGGGATGGCCTGCTCCTCTTCTGCCTCTTTGCCTTCGCGGCCCCTTTCGTCTACAAGGTCTAGGTCGTTTTTGCGCTGGTTGGGGTTGTTGCCCTCGGTGACCCGAAACCTGGCTTCCCCGTTGTTCTTGTTTCTTGTTTGGGGTTTTGCCCGCCTTTCTGTTTCTTTGGGCTCCCTTGCTCCGTTTGTTTTCTGTTGGGGTCTTCGCCCGGTTTTGGGGCGCGTGGTTTTTCTCCCCCCGAAAAAGTGGTTCTCGCCCCTCATTGAGGGGCGTGTGTGTGCGGAGTGGCAGAATACCCTGCCACCAAATCTTTTTCCGTTGCAGCAGGGGGACCATCCATTTGCTGTGTGCGATGGTCCAACGAAGCGGCCACAGCAAATGCGGATATCGAGGCTGATCACCTCGACGTACCTGCGCATCTCGTGTGATTCAAAGTCCTTTTGGCCCGTTGTTTCTCTCGCTGTGTGTGCTTCATGTTGAATTTGTAACGTTTTCGCTGCTAGACGGAAACCAAGTGACTGCAAGCCGAACCTACACCCACTCGAGACTCATCGGTTGTACTCGAGACTCATCAGTTGTACTCGAAAGATTAGCACTCTCCATCTGGAGTTCAAGTGTGTGTGTGTGCGGAGTGGCAGAATACCCTGCCACCAAACCTTTTTCCGTCACAGCAGGGGGCACAGGCCCATGGTGGTGACCTGTGCCAACGAAGCTAACCACCATGGGGGAAACGCGGACTGATCATCCGCGTGTACCTGCTTTTGTGAAGTGATGTTTCTGAATGTCCTTTTGGTCCCCTCCCTGAACCGCCGTTGCTTCTTTGTGCCCCTGTTAAAGTAGCTACAGGGAAGCCATGTGTATTGTGAGCCGAAACTTATCGCACTCGAGACTTATCAGTTGTACTCGAGACTCATCAGTTGTACTCGAAAGATTAGCACTCTCCATCTGGAGTTCAAGTGTGTACACCCCATTCGTGGGGAATCCTCGGGTGTACCCATTGTGTGACCCCGGGCCGGCTCTGTCGGAAAATTTGACCTCAACGTTCTTATCATAGACCAGCGGAATTTCACATTTAACCAGGAACGAGGTTTCACTAAAGGGAAGACAGCCGTCAGATCATAGAGACGTCTCACTCGGTCTGCTGCTGGCTGCTTGCTTGAATTTTCATGGACTTGCAATTTTCGGACTTGTTCCTCTCAAGAGTGTGGAAGTTGCGGTTTTGCATTGGTTGTGCCATCATGTCTCGACGTGATGATCGTGATAGATCTCGGACTCGGCGCAGACGTGATCGGAGTCCTTCCCCTCCAGCTCGCAAAGCACGCCGACGTGAACACAATGACAGCCAGGTCGCGGAGAACATGGATTGGAACAACCTGGTATCATGGCAACACAATTCCGGCTACAACTCTGCCAACAACTTTCCGATGATGCCCACCAACTTTCAATCAACTCACAGCCCCACACAGCAATTCCAACACCCAGCGATCAACTACATGATGCCGATCCCTCCAGACCCCACGCCAACCAAGTTCATGCCACCCGCGATGCCACCACCGGTCACTACTCCCCAACCTACACCGCCACCTGGACCTCCAGCGGCTCTACCGGTTCGCCCTCAGAAAGCCTGGCTTACACCTTCGCCTGACTGGACACCTGGAGATGGCATGTTTGATGTCAATCAGCTCTACAACTTCAGTCTGCCCATGACCGTCGCCAACACTCCGCATGGCAACCTGCGCGACATGTCAGGCATGGATATTAGGGACGTTCGCCTGGTTCAGGTTATCCACGGCGGCCTCACCAACTGGCTACTTCGACCGTTTGCCCACGGCAGACTCGTGACGTGGGAAGGCTTTCGCACTCGCACCGAGGCCTTACTTTGGAGTACCTGTTCCAAACTACTACGACGATCACAGTCAATCAACCTGCTCACCCTGGAAAAGGACCTCGCCAACTCGCTGGGTCTCAACATCGATGACTTCAATCAGCGGATCAAGGTTCACGACCATTTGGCCAGCTTGATACTTCAATTTCTTCAGCAACATCACACCTCTCTCGCACCTGCCACCCAGACAGATGACATGGTCAAGAAGTACAATGATCTAAATCGTGCGCACGAACTGCTCCAAGCTCAGTATTCCGCATCGCTACGCGCTTCGACCTCTCCCACGATGGCAAGCCATAAAGATGATGAAGAACTGGTTACACCGCCACCGGTCAACCACACACCATCCTCGTCACC